AGTAGTAGTAGTAGTAGTACGTACGTAGTAGTACGTAGTAGTGTGTAGTAGTGTGTGTGTGTGTGTGTGTGTGTGTGTGTGTGTGTGTGTGTGTGTGTGTGTGTGTGTGTGTGTGTGTTTTATCTGATCCGGATGGTTACTAATTTCTTAATTAATTTCTTTATGGCAGTCATTTTTGACCGGGAACACCATAGGTGTTACAAAGTTGACTAAATCATCCAGAATTCAATGAAAGTGGTGATCAGTAATTGTGTATGTTCAAATGTCTACTGTGAAGGATATCATGAAGCCTTAATGCAATCGAATGTAAAACAAAAAAGTTATGGTTGATGAAAGTAGGAAATCGGTCAGATTTGACCCGAAGACAACAGGAGGGTTTTAAAGTAAACATGAAGTGAGCACATTTCACATCAGAACTTTTTGACTTTAATGAATCCCAGGTAATCATCAAGGGAATGTGGTTTTCTCCCAAGCCTAACTTGTCCTACAATTCTTCAAAAACACATGACATTTAACGCTTTTTCAGGAACTAAATTTTTCTCATCAATCATCCAAAATATCAGTTAATCCTCTGCAGAGTCTATCTAGGAGTGGTCTCCCTCCTAAATGTATTAGAATACATATTTCTCCTGATCAAGGATTATTTCCTGAACTCCTGAGCTGTAATCATAAACACTTTTCCCCACTCCACTTCATTCCCTTCAGGGCACATTCCACTTCATGGCTAGATTGAATATTCATAAAGACTCTTCTGATTTTAGATGACACAGGGGCATCCGCCTATGCAAGACATATGCATAAAATGTGCATTAACATAGTTTTACTCTGTCGCGCTGATGTGGAGAGTGGATGTTCATGAGGCTTTTAATGGAATCCATCGCTTAGAGTGGCCATCAGATTGCTTGTAATCTGTCAACGTCTCTTTGGGAATCAAAATGTACAACTTGCGAGACTGACAGCTACCAAAACTACTCTGAGGTCGGTGCACTTCAGTTCAGATTGCTTTCGCTTTCCTTCAAGTATATAAATTGGAAAACACAGCGTGAAACATCTGGCTATTTCCCCCAACAAATGTGTTTATTTTTTATTTGTTGCCTAGACATTTCCTAAACCATAAAGCCACAAAATAGTCCTCTGGGAGTGTGAGATAGTAAGATATTTGAAAGCTCATGGAAGCACATAATCAGTCATAGCACATCATTCCAGTGTCGTGGTCATAATGGCAGAAAACACTGACTCTCTAGCTCCATCTGTTGAGACATTGTCATAATTATACACAGGCGTTTGTGATAATGGATACATTATGCTGCTGAATTCTTCAAGGCATTGAAGACACAAATGCCAGCTGAGATAACGATTCACTGGCAGCCACAGATTGTTATGCAGCAGCTGTAATTATTCAAACATTCTCCGCTGAATAAACTAATGAGGTCCGGGTCAGTGTGCTCATTTGTCCAGTGACAGAAGTATTTTAAACATCAGGCTGTTTTTATATCTGCTTGTGAGATTTAGCTTCTTGAGGATGATGCAATTGGCAGGACTCAGATTTCAGGGTGACCTGTCTTTCAGGGCTAACTCACTTAAACACATTCACACCTCCAGGCAGAGAGAACATGGCGCAGTCACTCAGGGAAAACCTCAGGTGGATCGCTTGGGGTTCAAATACAGAGTCTCTGTGCCGTCTGGCAGCGCTGCTAACCTCATTTATTGAATTAAGGGTTGACAACTTGAATCTTTTCTTTAATAAGTGTCTTATAAATTATTTTAGAGAAGTGTGAGGAAGAGCCTGGTGCTTGAAACAATACACATCAGATTTGCAATCCTTAGCATACTACGGTATAAACGGGTCGTTTTTTGTAGACCTGTCTGCCCGTTTTGTGAGTGCACTGCGCGCGTGCGCGCTTGCGGCATTGTTTGGGAAGACCTAATTAAAATACCGTCCGCCGTCCTCTTTGAGAAACATACACAACGCAGACAGACACCGCTCACAAAAGTATCAGATTTTCTTTTGATTGTCTATCATTAACTATAAAAAAAATATCGGCGTTTTAACACTAAGTTTATATATGTACTTATTTTTACGGTTTGCATATGAGGTGGTCCGCGAAAATCCTTGATGATAAATATTGGTCCGCATAAACAAAACGTTTGAGAACCCCTGGTCTAGACCCCAGCTAGCCAATCAGAGCAGACTGGGCTCTGCCTTCAGACAGAGGGTGAAAAGAGGTGCTGCAGCACAGGCAGTATAAAGAGCTTTTTGAACATTAAAGCTTGTAATCATGTCACAGAAAAGGCTCAACATACACATTTGAACCCGATTATGATTATAACATCTCTTCTTTAACTTTTTAGACAAAAATGTCCACTATTTGTCATTCCAGCCTCTGAAAAGGTAGCATTTGCTCTTCTTGGTCATAGTAAAATGTTTTTTTGTTTTTTTATTTATGATCAGACAAAATATGACATGTGAAGGCATAAAACATTTGCACGATAAATGTTATACCAGGCAATTTTTTTTCAATAAAAAAAAAAGATTCAGCAGCTTCATCACTACCAATATTCCACATCATTGTTGTCACTGCCTTGAGTAGCCAAATAAAACTGTTATTGTCTAAACCTCAGCTGTTACATTTTAACTACATCTAGATCTGCGTGTCAGAACTGTTATATTCTTACCTCATCAAGTTGTAACCCTGTAAGCAAAGAAATACCCGACACAAAGCAGATGCACAAAAACATTATCATTAAATCAGTGTTGTATCTGGCGAGCCAGCTAACCGTAACACTTCAGGGCAGGGGTGTCAAACTCAATTTCATCGCGGGCCACATCAGCATTATGATTGCACCCAAAGGGCTGGTTGTAACTTTAAGACTATATAAAAATACATATATTTAATATATATAAAATAATGTATTATATTACATTATTACTTTTTTTAAATTCACACAACATCCTTAACCCTATGCAATCTGGATTCAGATCAAAGCAGCTGAACTGTGACTGCCAGTCTGAAAGTTTTAGATGATATTAAGGGTGCTTTGGATAAAAAATCTGTTTGTGTTGCATTGTTTATTGATCTAGATTCTAGCCAAAGCATTTGACACTGTAGATCACCACATTCTGTCTAATGTGATGTTGATGTCTCGTTTCGGTCATAACGCCATTTGCTGGTTTCAAAGTTATCTAACCGACCGTACTCAATGCGTCTGGGTAGTACTGTCTCTGACCCTGTCACCTTGAAGAAGGGAGTTCCACAGAGCTCTATTTTGGGGCCTTTGCTCTTTTTATTATGTAAACAATATTTGTAATCAGATACAATTTTTTACCTATCATATGTATGCTGATGACACTATTGTATACTCATGTGCTCCTTCTCTGGATATGGCCATTTCCAATTTAAAATCTGATTTTATCACGCTGCAGCATGCACTTATTGATTCCAAACTGCTTTTGAACAGTAAGAAAACCAAAGCAATGCTTTTTGCTCCCAAGTCAGCGTCCTCTTGCCTCTCCATTGACACCCTTGATGGCGTCTCTGTTGAGTTTGTCGATACCTACAAATATCTTGGCTTTTGGTTGGACAGTAATCTGAACTTCAAACACCATATTGAAGTTCTAACAAAGAAATTGAAATTCACTCTTGGCTTCCTTTACAGACTTAAATGTTGTTTTTCAACTTCATCCCGTAAAAGGTTGGTCTCTGGCTTATTCCTGTCCCAGCTGAACTACGGTGATACCATTTATAGATTTGCCTGTCCCACTGTTTTGGCCAAACTTGACCCACTCTACCATGCTACACTGCGTTATACTGTATATCAAATGCACCCTATAGGACTCATCATTGCAAACTGTATAGCCTAACTGGATGGTCCTCACTCACTATGCGTAGGATGCAGCATTGGTTTTTATTAAGCCATTTTAGGTAAGCTTCCACTGTACATATGTGCCAGATTTGCTCCAGTTTGTGACTCTTACAACCTCAGATCCAGTGCCTGGATACGGTTCCAGGTACCTGCCGTGCGGACTGAGGCTGGGAAAAGGAGTCTTTTTTATTATGGTCCTTGGTCTTGGAATGACCTTCAATCACACCTCAAACTGACGGCACTTGTCTCAATAGCATGTTTTAAATGGAAGTTGTCTGAAGTCCTTACCACCAGCTGCTCTTGCAGTAATAAGTAGTGTACCTTTATTACTGTCCTAATGTGCACAATGTAGTGACTGCTTTTTCGTCTTTCGTTTTCTTATTTATGTTCTCTGTATTTTATATGTTTGTGTTATGTAACGTTGCAGCCTTCTTGGCCAGGTCAGCCTTGCAGATGAGATTCTATCTCAATGCTTTGATCTGGTTAAATAAAAGGTTAAATAAATAAAAAAATAAAAAATGATTGCCTCTGCATTGGATTATTATCAGGTAATTTCTAAGAAAAAAAATTACATAAAAAAAAAAATAACATTCGGAGAGAAAAAAAATCTAATTCTGAGAAAAAAAATTCAAATTTGAGATGCATTGTGGGACATGCTTCTGTAAATCCCCATGTAACCGTATAATAAACATATTATATTCTTTGCAAGGTCTTGCGGGGCCACATAAAATGAGGTTGAGGGCCGGATTTGGCCCCCAGGCCTTGAGTTTGACACCCCTGCTTTAGTGTGTCTTTTGCATTTCTTGAAAGAAAAGTGCTCCAATTTCTTCTCAAGGCCGAAGCTAACGTTTTTCAGTCTGCCGTTTGGTGCTGAGGGGGGAGTTTAAAGTGATGTTTTAGAGCTTTTTATCCCATAAACAGAGCTTCAACCTCACTTGAATTCTAATCAGCCGGAATGATTGAGATCGATTGAGATCGACTGAAATCTTAAAGAAACAAGTTTGAAATCACTGTTTTATTTCCCAATGCAATGAAATATAACAAAAACATGTAAAACCTAAAAACAAAAAGTAAAAATATAGTAACAAATATTGTCATATCAAACACGCTCTTCAAATGTGGGTAATGAGCAGTTTGTCAGAGTGAGACGAGATATCAAAAATGAACACAAAGTGGGCATTTCGTTAAAAAAAAGAAACTCTTTAAAACGGGGATCTGAAATTCTTCTAATTTAAGGAAAATTAATAAATGTCACGATTCCGGCACAAGAAGAAACGGTAGGTATTAAAAAAAAAAGACATTATTTCATCAGGGACTTCAGCGTGGACATTTGAAGATTTAAGAGGTGGTATTGAAAAAAGTGTTAGCCCAAGTGTCCTCACTAGACAAAGTCTGTTCATGGCAGCAAAGAGCGGAGAACATCCATGCGGTCTTATCTGTCCGGTCGCATCATGCCCGGCCGTACGGGCATCATCATCGGTCGGGGGTGACGCATCATGTGGGGCGGTCCGGGCATCATCTGCATGGGTCCTCCCATCGGCGGCCTCATGCCTCCTAGAGGAGACAGCGAAGGGTACACAGCTTAGGGTATTGATTTATGACAACAGCTGTTCATGTAGGAGTCACATCAGTGCATTAGAAACTTCACAACTCACTGAGAATAACCTGGTCCAGATTTAACTCCAACTCTTTCATTGGACATTGAATGGGACGTTGTGCTATAGAAATAAATGCTATAGATTGACTCTTCTGTACTCATTATGTTTTTCTATGTATAACTCTTTGTTTTACCTATGCTTTCAGTACATTTGGTTTTAGGACACAATCATTTTCACTTTAGGTTCATTTAATTTCTTTAGTTACAATAGTTGAAAGTAATTTATTTAATAAAATGTTAGATAACAGTCAACTATTTGATCAATCCACATGAGGTGTGCTTTAGAAAAGATATATATTGTGTTAGAAATGTGTTTGTTTTTTCAGTCAGTGAATAGGCAGTCTGCTTAAAGAGGTAAAAGAAATACAGGCCATCCAAAAACTGCACAAGAGCAGAGGATACTGATGTTACTTTACACTAATTAGGAACGAGTAGAGTTAAATAAAAGTATTTCTTACCAGGTCCACCTGGCATCATCCCATGTGGTGGGGGCCCCATCATGGGCATCATAGGAGGTCCTCCCATGGGGGGCGTTGGTAGCATACCTGGCCGAGGAGGCCCACCTGCGTTAAAAACAGCAAACGTTAAGTTTACATTCAATGATAAGACATTATTCTATCCATAAGAAAAGTTCAGATTCCCGTGCATCACAGTACATTGTGCTATATTCTTTGAGGATATAGTTTGTGGTCTTGTTGAATTAAATGGGCTTGACATAGTATTTGAAAGTTCTCAGTATGATGAAACATCATTTTTTTAATGTTTTTGTCTTTGTTTTAGCCGCGTCATTGCAGGTGCTCTTTAACAAAAGTAAAATGTTACACAAGTAAAGGAAAACACCGGCTAAGTAAAAAGGGTTTCATATTCGGTTTATTTTCATGTCCAGTTGAGTATTATTTGTATGTGGTAGTTGTAATTCTTAAAGAATACAAACGCTTCACGATTTTGATGAATGTTTATTCTAATCAAATGATGATACATCAAAGATGGACTCACCTGGGGGGGGCCCACCAGGGAACGGCGTGGGAGGAATCTTTCCCTGTTGAAAGGCAGCCGCTGTCGGGAGAAAGGACAACACATTAAACACACATATTTAAATGTCCAGCACATCATCTTTCTTGTGTTTGTAAAGAGTTCATTGAAGCGTGTTTCATGCTGTATACACTGAATGCAAAAAACACAAAAGCTCCCCTCGTCTTTCTACGAATGTGCACAGATAAATAAATACCCTACGTGAAAAAAAAGAGAAGCCATTTTGAATGCTTTACTTGCATAAAGGATGTATGGCTACTCTCTTTTTGTGTTGCAAAGGATCATTTGGTGTGTAAAACATGTTCCTCCACAGTGGACAATAACACACTTGAGCATCTGTAATGTGGATTAGTGGTTTGTAATCTCAGAGGGGGCCGAAGTGAGCTGCTGAACATTGTGCACAATGTAAGCAAAGAGCCTGGAAGTCCCACACATGTGTAAGCATGAGTTGTGTGGGATCCGTAACAGGCTTTACTCCAACACCTCGCTGATTTTCTATACAAGGATATTAAATATGAAGGTAAAAAATAATGCATAGTTATCGTAAGTTATTTGTTACTACAGCTAGAAGTCCGACAAGGTTTTGGAGTGAGTGGTAAAACGTCCAAAGAAACACAAACAGCAGTTGCTTTGTACTTCTAAAATGCACTTAGCTGCGTTATCCAAATACTTGATCCGATAATGTGCTTACTTGTTTTATCGATCAGGCTCTGAGCCTGCTCCTCCATCCATTTCTGGTAGTAATCTTTTACATTTTCTTTGTGTTTTCGGCCACTGCAGTGGGTCTTCCTCACCGATGGCTAAGAACAGAAAACAGACAGATTTGTAGATATTTAACAGGAGCAAAATACATTTAAGTCCGATTCTTTAATATTTGACAATAGTTTGATACACACAAGTTCAACTTACCGAATCATGTGTTAGGTAGGTGTCACAGTAATCACAGTAAAACCTGTCAAAAATAAAAGTTTGGGGGTTAACACAAAATCACGACTTGAACCAAAACTCTTCTCTTCAAATAAGAGCTGCATGGTACAGTTGAAGTCTTTCTTATGGTTTGTCTTGGCCTTGTGTCCTGCAGGTTTTTCTATATATTTAAAATATTCAATGGACATTCAAATGACTTAGGCCTTAGTTTAGGTTAGCAAAGAAAAACTCATAGAAAACCTAATTCATTCCTTAGTATCATGCTACTCATTTTCTATTATTTTTCCTATCCACTCATTTTATTAGGATGTGTTGTGCTCTGCAGCTGCTCCACTTTAAAAAGCTGTGGCCCAGTGACGACGTTCACCTTGGATGTAAATGATTGTTAGTATGCAAGATATATTGTTTTAAAACAATCAGCATAATGTCTTCTCTCTTTTTCTTTTTTTTTTTAAAGGAATATTACGTAGTAAAAAATTCGCATTACACGTTACAAGGTCTAAAATCTAAACACTTTAATTAAAAAAGCTTTATGTTTAGGTTGATATAGTTAAAGTCCTAAATATACAAAAATGAACCAGTTGCTTTTGTATCACGCTGCTGCAGATACATCTTCCTGGAAATTGTTAATGTTCACGTTGGGGCTGAGTCCAGCAAATAGACAGAGCCCAAACAAAGCTCACAGCGTTCACTGGAAACAAACTGGTCTGTTTCAATTAGTTTACAGTTATATTTAAGCGCCGTTCGGTGCTTACTACAAAAACAAATAATATTTAATTGGGTTGAAATGTAAAAATCAAAGATTAAGCTTACAAGGGCAAGTAAGATCTTTACTTACTTAGGCATGTTCCCCGGCAATCTCCGTCAAGAGCGCGATTCCGGTGTCCCCACAAACTGTTCCTACCACATATAAGACCTGCCGACCGTTGGTTCCGCCTGAAAGTGCGTGAAAATCACTGCACTACTGATAATATATTTGTCCCCCTTCACACGAAATCCATACTCTACTCATATTTAACGGTTAAGGAAAACAAATCTAATCAAATAAAACAACATATAGAGTTATCTATATAAAATACATTGCAATTGTGGGAAGGAGGGAAGTTTTAAAGGGAAAATCAAAAAAATGTGAAAAAATTCCAAATCTAAGGTAGGCCTATAGCTGTAAAATTATTAATTTGTTTTTAATTGATAAACGTAATACTTTTATGATAATACCAATAATTATATTAATAATCCTATGATATTTATAAAAAAATACTTGGTTAAAAGCTATGCTTTAGTTTATATCTTAATGAAAATAAATGTTGTGGAAAATCTACATCAAATGGTGTTCTTCTCTTGTATATGTGATTTCAGAAAATGGTGTCTTTATAGTGGGTGTAGGTAACAAAAGAGCCACAGATGTCCTGTAAACTCCCTGTGTACTTATATGTCCTACTATAGCTATTTGTATACATGTCATAGGAATGTTGGAAACAGTCATTTCATTGTTTTTTTTATTTGTTATTAATTCAAATGCACACAACAACAATATCAATATTTTATTGGGATTTGTTTGTGCATCCACTATTCTCCATTCTTCAAGAAAAAGTTGAAAAAATTCTACAGGGATAAAAATGTGTTCTTGTTGAGCTTGGCTAAAAAAATATATCTTTCTGAATTTCAATTATCTAACTATTGGCAAAACTTTTTTTTTTTAAATAAGAATCCTAAAATGTATAAATAAAAAGGACGTTTTCATATCCTTCACCTATGTCAAACTAATAATAGGACACCCTAAAAATATTGTTAAAAGAAAGTCCTTCAATGAAAATATTATTTAAGTTAAAGTATGAAAGCATAATCAGGAAAGTGTATGTAAAGTATTTAGTAAAAGTACTTAATGCAGAAAAAAGGTCCACTCTTACTTTTATATTATATACACAATGATATATTGTTAGATAATTATTTCACATGCATACATACAATGCTTCTCCTATTGTAGTTGGATGAGCTATTGCAGAGCTAATTTTAACTAATGGTTAGTGGATATTTTCATTCAAGAGTAATCCGAGGATATTTTACCCCATAATCCTTTGTTTGGTTAAATGATATAAGTTGAAATTCTTAAAGATCTCAATCGTTATTACTTTAGAAATGTCCAAAGAGATATATAAAAGCAAAAAGAAAATTGAAATGTAAACTATATGTAAAAAGATGACAAACTAATAATAATATACAATTATCTTCAATCTTAAATATTAGTTTTTCTCCTTATGGAAACATTTATACAGACAATGGACATTCTTACATAGTTAACACATATAGTAAAACCTGTAAAAGTATATGTCAATCTAATAAAAAGGTGAATATTGTGATATTTGAAATATATAATATTAAAGGTCCCATTTCATGGCCATTTCCACTGATCATAATTCCATTGTTGAGGTCTACTAGAATAGATTTATATCGTGCAATTTTCCAAAATCACTTTGGTTTCTCATACAGCATCTCTGTAAACTACGTGTATTCACTGAATTTCACTCTCTGCCTTTAACGGCTCGTTTTAGCTCCAATAGCTCCAGCCCCCACTGTTACGTTGTGAATCGCGCTGAGCTCCGTGGAGGTGTGGTTTCCTTATTTAGGATACACAGCGAAACACAGCCAAACTCGGCCTGAGCACACACAAAAGCCTCATCCCAATACCCCTCCTCGACTCCTCCTTTCCCTCACTCGCGTCCCTTCCTTGCATCTTAGCTCCGCCTCCGTAAGATGCGAGGGAGGGACACGAGGAGGTTGACGCGAGGACAGAGGAGTCCTCAGGTATTAATTGGGATGTCCTCGTTCACTCAAGTGTCACTCTTAAACGACGTCTGTTAATGATGATATGTGCACAGCTGTATCCCCTCTCATCGGGCTTAACCCTTTAGAACCGGCCCATTTCTGGTTAAATATTTATTTAAATGAATGAATCTTTCTCTTGTTAGTCAAGGAATTCAATGTATGATGATTGGTCCTGCTTTTGTGTTCCGTTTTGGTGTAAAATGTAGCCTACATTTAAATTAAATATATAAGTATAGTAATGTGAAATCCTTTTAGAAATTAATTGCACAGCTGTGAGCACTTATACATTTATGTGACGCTTTTCCACTCATCTTCCAGTCGGTTTTCCTCTGTTGAAATCGACCAGCTGTGAAGGTGGGGGCGGGGCTTTTATACGGGAGTAGTGAAAACACTTCCGCGTAGTCTGCTCGCGTGTATCCTCCCTTTCGTCTCCTCCCGCACCCCTCCTCCGTGTGCATTTCAGCAATAGAGAACCGCAGTGACGCGTCGTAAAACCCGGAAGTAAGTTAGCATTTTTGGCACTTCCGGTTCCTTCCTCAAAAAGCAATGCATTTTTTCCATAGGGTTTTGGAA